GCTGATTCACCTACGCAGCTGATTCCGGACAGACTAACATCCTGTTTCGCACCAGCTTTGAAAACCAGGGCCTCAGTCAATTAGCAGAACACGTTCTTGCAATGACATGGGCTGCCCAGTGCTCCTCGGTCCCAGCTCCTTCTAGGAGCCCTCCCCTCCTCCCCCGCTGGACCCGCGGGTCCCTTTCTCCCACCCTGGGAATACTGAAGGCCCAGGGAGCGCACCCTTCCCTGCTGGCCCCAGAGGGAGAAAGGCGAAGCAGATGGTGTGGCCCGACCTTTTCTGTGAAACACGAGGGAGGGAATACAGTCACCGCCGCACAACTGTAAAGTGACACGTTGCACGTCTGCCATCAACCCCGCGGTGGCTGAGCTATGCCAGCTTGGAGAGAAAGTGTGGAGGTGGTGTGAGAAGACACCCCCGGCCTCCACAGTCTCCCAGCGAGCAAGGGGACCTGTGGGCAAGCACGTCCCCCGGTGCCACTCAGGCCCCAGAGCCCTGTTCCCATGGCTCCCGCTCTCCATTCGGCCCACCCCAAACCAACCAGCCTCACTTCACTCTTGACTGTGACCTTTAAACATCTGACTTTTTTTTTTTAATTGTGGTAAAATACACGTAACATAAAGTTTTACCACGTCACCCATTTTTAAACTGGGGCAACTCAGCGGCATGGAGCACATCTGCCATATTACCGGTCACCGCTCTCTGGTCCCAGAGCCTTCCCGTCAGCCCAGAGGGAAAGCCTGTGCCCGGCAACACCACTCCCTGCTCCTCCCCACGCTCGGTCCCTGGGAACCACTGGTCTGCTTTCGGCATCTGGCTTTGCACATCCTGGGTGTTTCGTGTACGTGCAATCGCGCATTGTGCGGCCGTGTCTCTCCTGCATCTTCCGCTCCGCACACCGTCTTCACGGTTCATCCAAGTGACTGCGTATCGGCATTTTGGTCCTTTCTCTGATGGAGCGCCGGCCCAGGCATGGATAAGCCGCCTGTTTGGCCATGTTTGCAGCGATGGACATCGGGGCTGTCTCCACCTCTCGGCTATCGTGAGGCCGAGCACTTGGCCTTTCACTGACTTCCAGTTTTCAACTCCCTGCTAGGTTTAGGGTCCGATCGCAGCTGCGGGGAAGGCTGTGTGACAAGGGCATCCAACACTCCCCCGCCTGTCTCAGGCCATGCCATGCATTTCCTCCCAAGGTCTTCTCAAGAGTCCCCCCCCTCCCCCAGAGGCAGACCCTATACACCTGTCATCATGCCGACAGCCCACACCGTTGAGCTCGGCTCCATCCCCCCCTACACTGTGGTGCGTGCCTTTTCCACGCAGCCCTCTTGAATTTGTACTGAGCATATGACAAGCCCACCACTGCACCAGAGCCGTCCCCGACTGCATCTCATCCAGCCCCCACCGCCGCCCTACAAGGCAGGGCTATTATCACAGCAGGGCCTCCTCACTTGTGGTTACGGTCACCCGCGGTCGGGAAGCAGGGGATCCCGTTCCAACGTGTCATCAGGGGACCCCCCCTTCTGACGTGTCATCAGGAGTGGCCTCACGCTGTGTCACATCGCCCGCATGTCCACCTCCTTCACCCCATCCCGGGGGGCATTTTACCATCCCCCGTCCTCACAAGACGACGAAGGCTGAGCGCAGGGCAGTAAGACATCCTGAGGGAGCGAGACAGACTACATTCGCCTAACCTGGCTCACACGTGCTGCCACAGCCGTTCCATTTCACCGTGAGCCACGCGGTTCGTCTCTCACTGTGCCTGACTGATCACTTAGACCCTAACACACGTATGCACGGAGGGGAAAAGCAGTACGTACAGCGTCCCGTGCTGTCTGTGGGTTCAAGCATCCACTGGGGGCCTTGAAACGTATCCTGTGTGCATAAGGTCGGGGTGGGGGAGGGGAACCGCTGTCTCAGAAAACTGATCAGACACAACTGGGGTCTCAGGCTCCTGATTCGGTCGGTGCTCCGTCACCCTGCTGTCCCGCCCCCCAAAACCGCAGTCAGGGGTTACCAGGTGGTTTTCCACACTCGGCCAACCTATTCCTTGTCTTGGAAAACAGAAGCCCAAAAGGAGAAAGGTCCAGGCTCATCCAGACCGCAGGTCTATGTAAACCTAATTTATAGGTTTATATAAAACCTTCTTCCGTGGAAAAAAAAAAATAGAAGTATCAAGAGGTGACCAGATGAAACACGTCTAAGGTCACCCGCCCGTGGGGGCACCTGGGGGTGGAGCCCTTCCTCGGGCGGTTCTCCAGGCTCCCCTGGGGGCTGGCTGCCCGGACCTGGGGCCCCAGGAAGGGGGAGCAGGAGGCAGGGTGCAGGCCCCCAAAAGGGTGAAACTGGCCACAGAGGAGCGTTTACACCAGCGAAAGTGGCCAATGTGACAGACCAGGCCTGTCCCGGCCACTGTCCACCCTTCACCCCCAGCACCTCTGCCCACACCGAGCTCCGCCAGGGGCTGGGGAAGAAGGCTGTCACCAGAGGCACGAAGACAGCCAGCAGGCATTCCTGAAGGTCACTGCCACCAGGAGAGGCAGGGCAGGGAGGGCCCCACTGGACCCCCTCCCCTTCATTCTGCAAGGGGGACAGACAGGAGAAGTCAGAGTGCCTTCCAAGGCCTCACAGTGGAGAATCAAACAGGACCACAGGACCAAGCAAACAGATCAACACCTCGGAGATGGAGGTGACGGAGGGCGAGGGAAGGCAGGCGGTCCTCCTTTCGCCCCGAGATGCAGGTCTCGAGGACCGTAAGTAGGTAGGTTTGGAGTGGGGAGTCTGCATCCCCTTCCTATCCGGAGCCCGCCTGGGCCCCGGGGCCCCAGACCTCCCACGGGCAATACGTCCCTGGCCTCCCAGCCCCGGGAGAGGATCCCAGCCAGCTCAGTGAGCAGGTGGCCAGCATTTCCCGAGTGAGCTGGCCCTTCAAGGCGGGGACGGGTCTGGGGCGAGGCTATGCCCATCAGCTTTCCGGACAAACTTTCCGTTTATTAATTCTCCCCCATTACGCAGGCAAAAGTAAACAAGCTTTTCTCCAGCAGCCTGGCACGGAGGCCTCCCCTATTCAAACACAGCAAGAATCGACAGGCTTGGAAGTATGAGCTCCCAGGCCCGCTTCCCAGGGGGCCCCCTGGCCTCCTGCCCGTGACATCCCAGCCCGCAGAGACGGGCAAGCGGGGGTTTGTGCGGCCACCGGGGCCAGGGTCCGGCACTCGAGGCCTGGGAAGGGCCCCAGCTCTGCAGGAAGCACCAGAGACCCCAGGGACCAGGGAGCTACAAGGTCAGAAAGGGTCTGGCCCACGCTGCGGGCGTCACACCTGCCCACTTGACCCCACCGCGAGGAAGGCTCTTTCCAAAGGCGGTTAGTGCCCGCTTCCATTTAAATCATGGTTTTAAAGGTGCAGAGACAAGAAAGGAAATTCACAGTGACGAAATCAAAACAACAGCTAAGGGCAGACTTTTCAAAGGCGGGGATTCTACAAGTGTTTCTACGCAGTCGCTCAGGAATCTTTGACCTGTGGAGTAGAGATGGTTGCATGTTTTTTTTTAAGTTTATTTATTTTTGAGAGAGAGAGAGAGAGATTGAGAGAGGGAGCACGAGAGAGAGAGAGCATGCAAAACAGGGTAGGGGCAGAGAGAGAGAGAATCCCAGGCCGGCTCTGCACGGTCAGCGCAGAGCCTGATGCGGGGCTGGAACTCATGAACCACAAGATCATGATCTGAGCCGAAGTCAGATGCTTAACCAACTGAGCCCCCCAGGCGCCCCACATTATGTTTTTACAGAAAACGCTTTCCCATTACTGTTTCTCCTGGAAGTGTCCCCTGCAGCTCAACCAAAGGGGACTGAAGACTATCCGACAACCCAAGACCAAGATCTCTTTGGTTTTCCATGGGGTGTGGCTGCAGGTACTTTCTAGAATGTTCCTCTGTCCTCTCCTATTTGAGGGCTGTTGACCTCACAGCTGGCCTGCCCAGCTCCCCACCTGGCACCCCCTCCAGCCAGGCTGTGAGCCCAAAGCCGGGCTGTTGTAACCCCTTCCTGTACAGGGACTGGTGACTCCCAGGGACCCTTCCTCATGGCAATTTTTCTTTTCCTTTTTAATTTTTAATGTTTATTTACTTTTTTCAGAGAGAGACAGAGAGACAAGAGTGCAATCAAGGGAGGAGCAGAGAGAGAGAGAGAGGGAGACACAGAATCCAAAGCAGGCTCCAGGCTCTGAGCTGTCAGCACAGAGCCCGACGTGGGGCTTGAACTCACGGACCAAGAGATGGTGACCTGAGCCGAAGTCGGAAGCTGAACCGACTGAGCCGCCCACGTGCCCCTCACGGCAGTATTTCTAAATGCAAAAACAAAATACCCAGGACTCCAAAGGAAACTAACAGAAATACACTTACCCACATAGTTTTCAAAACCCCAGCTTTACAACACAGTAATGGAACAGACGGGCTTCTTTACTAACGATTATAAATCACGATCTGGCAGCGGGTCTGGTCCCTTCCATCATGTCAAAGCGACAAATGAGCACAAACAATGTTTTGTGGTATCTGCACCCCCTCACGCGGTGTGAAAACGGGCTGTGATTTCTGCGGGCTGCCCACCCTGCCGCGGTTTGGGGCCGAGCTTTGCGGCGGACAGAGTGCCCGATTCCAGGCCGAGGGGAGGGGCGGTGAGGGTGTGATCTTCCTCCTGTCCGCATCCACGGACCCCCTGAGTCCTATTCGTGGGCCCCTGTGCTCACGATGCCGTTTTCATCCCCACCGCCACCTCCTTCCTCTGTGCAGCCCCAGCTGGGCGAGAAGCTAGCTCGCAGGCACCAGGAAGCCCCCCTCCCTTTATGGAGGGAGCATCACAGAAAAACGCTCTGTGGCTCCATGCTCCTCAGTCCAGCCCCGGGGTACCCCTCACACCCAGTGGCGCCCCGATGGTGGTTCTGAGGAGGTAGCGTCCCCCCTCCCGTCCCCACACGGGACACGCGGGACACGCCGGACACGCCTACCTTCCGGCTCCTCCACGCTGCTGGCTGCGGTGGTCGGCGGTGCCACGGGGATCTCTGTGGGGTTCCGGATGGGAGGAAGAGAAAACAAGGTGAGAAGACGTTATTTTTGACTTTAGAAAAAGGTGAGCACAGCACAGGCTCCTCCCTGGGCCCTCCTCCCTTCCCCACTCCTCAGCTCCAGGGCCAGAGGGCCGGGGAGAAGGAGGAAGCTGGTACGGGTGCCCGGAATGAGGCCTTGTTCTCCTTCGGGGAGGCGGGTCTGTGCCCCTGGCCCAGGGCCCCCCCATGGGCTCCCACCTCACAAGCTAAGGCATTTTCTCTGTGGCCAAAACAGACCGACCACAGAAGATCCAAGGGCCCGAGAGACGCATGCGCTTTCCGGGGGTCGCTGCCTTTGGACCTCGAATGGCAATTCTTTCCAACGAGCTCCTTACTCTGCCCTGTGCCCAGGAAAGGGGAGGAGGTTCAGGCCGTCTCCAGGCAGGCACAGGGCAGACTGCTGGTCCCTGCGGGGAGGGACTGGCCTCCCCTGGTGAATAGGAGGGTCACAGAAGTCTTGCGAATCCCCCAGACTCTGGCCACCATCTGACTGTTGGGGGTAAGACCTCCCTCAGCCTCCAGGCTCTGGACCAGCTGGGGCCCGAGGCCTGGTGGGTGGAGATGGGGGCCTGCCCGAGGGTCTCCTTCAGCAGCAACGGGCAGAGGACCCAGCCCTCAATTCGGAGTCAGATCCTGATCTCCGGGGATTTATCTCTTGGCCCTCATGAGTTATGGTCCAGCTCCAAGCAGCCGCAGACAAGCAGATAAACCAGTGAGTGCGGCCGTGTCCCCATAAAACTTGACGGACACCTCACTTTTCACTGCCTATCATTCCGCACATCATAAAACACTAATCTTTTGACTTCGGCTTCAAGCATTAAAAAATTATCAGGGGCGCCTGGGTGGCTCAGTCCGTTAAGCATTTGACTTCAGCTCGGGTCATGATCTCACAGCTTGTGAGTTTGAGCCCCATGTCAGGCTCTGTGCTGACAGCTCAGAGCCTGGAGCCTGCTTCCGATTCTGTGTCTCCTCTCTCTGCCCCTCCCCTGCTCGCGGTCTGTCTCTCTTTCAAAAATAAGTAATAAAACATTTTTTTTTAATTTTTTAAAAATGTTTTCTTTATTTCTAGGAGAGAGAGAGAGACAGCGTGAGCAGGGGAGGGTCAGAGAGAGAGGGAGTCACAGACTGAAACAGGCTCGAGGCTCTGAGCTGGCAGTCAGCACAGAGCCCGACGCGGGGCTCGAACCCACGAACCGCGAGACCATGACCTAAGCGAAAGTCGGACGCTTAACCAACTAAGCCACCCAGGCGCCTCATAATAAAACATTTTTTAAAAGTTCTTTAAATTATCAAAAGGAAACACTGAGCCACACTAACCAGTGATGGCTCAGATCCCCAGGGCCAGCGTGTGCTCACCCCTGCTCTGGAGAGGCAGACTTCATGCCTCGGCTCTGCCTGCTTAGCTGGGATCCGATATTTTTCTGCTCTCCCTTCTGGGTTAGGACGGCCTCGCACAAGGAATCGAGAAGGCCAAGCGCCTGGGGCCAGCTCCCAGCCAGGCTGGCCGTCCAGCCAAGGCGAAGTCTCCAGCACGACACCTGGTCCCGCCCTACTGGATGTAGAATGGCCCCTTCTGAGCCCCGGCCGCCGCTGGCTGACCCCTGCCACCGTGTTCAGCCCCGCCCACTCCAGCAACGGAGGGGCTAGCAGCTGCTCCGAGGGGCCCCCAGGACGCGAAGGGACGCTGTCCCCCACGCGTGCATGGGAACCTGCAGGCGGAAACTGGAATTCCCACAGCAGCCGCAACGGCAATCCCTGGGACAAAGCCACCCGAGGTCCAGGGTCAAGGCAGAATATGAGAACAGGGCCTGGGTGGAGGAAAGGGGCTTGCTTCCCTCTGGGAGCAGGAGGCTCAGCCTCTGGGAGGACGGGGAACAGACGCTCTGCTGAGCACCCCCAGCTGCTTCTGCAAGAACCCCACAGGTCTGGGGGGGTGTGGGTCTCACACAGGGTCCCACTGAGTACAGGGCGCCAGACACACAGGCCCCATGTTGATCCGAGCTCAACCCACTGGACGTCGGCATCAGGGCTGAGGAGGGAGGGGCTCGCACATACTTATGCAGGGGGCGATGGGCGAGCGGCTCTGCTGGTAGCCCTTGGCGCAGCGGTTGCAGGTGATGCCAGTCACACCATCCTTGCAGGGACACTGGCCGGTGGTCTGGTTGCAGGTCTTGCCGGCAGCGCCCACGGGGTGGCAATCACAGGCTGCGGAGGACACAGGAAGGAGGGTCAGAGGTCGGGCAGTGGCCAGCCCCTCCCTCGGGGCTCCCCTTTGAATCCCACCCCGGAGGAAGAGCCGGTCAAACCCACAGACGTATTCCAGAAGCTCTGAGAGCCCGCCACCTGCCTGCCTGGAAATGGGAATCAAAATCAAGATGGGTCATCTTTTTTTTTTTTTTTTAACATTTTATTCATTTTTTTAAAGAGACCGAGCACGAGCAGGGGAGGGCCAGAGAGAGGAGACAGAGAATCTGAAGCAGGCTCCAGGTTCTGAGCTGTCAGCACAGAGTCCGACGCAGGACTTGAACTCCCGGACCATGAGATCATGACCTGAGCTGAAGTGAGACGCTTAACTGACTGAGCCCCCCCAGGCATCCCTCAAATTGACCCATCTTGAAAGGCTGTTTCGGCAGCCGGGAAGCAGAATAGGGGGCCCCTCCAGAGCCCGGAGAGGAAGGCCAACCCAAACTCGAGGATGTTTTTGGGGAGAGCCAAGCCCACAGGCTGATCACAGGTGGAGGGGTTCAAAATCTCAACGGGGTGAGTCGGTGCCCCCTCACATCCTTCCCTACTCTCTGGGCTGGAGGGATGGGGTTGGGGGCCCCACACAGCCGTGGGGCTGGCCAGGTCCGAGGTGGGACGCCCCAGGCTGCTGGGCCCGCCCTGATTTGCAGCCAGGCGGCCCAAGGCTCAGGCTTTTGGATGGCACAACCCATGAGCTGTCGCACCAGGAAGGCGCACAGGGGGCCCGTAGGTAAAACACCCTGCCTGGATGTGCAGAAGAAACCTCTCTCCGGGGGCCTTGCAGAAAGGGAGCGGGCTTGCTGGGAGGCGGAGGCCCCGCCTGAGCAGGCCCATACCCTTCCTCCTGGTTTGCAACAGGCTAGAAAGCGGGGGTTGCCCACCCTGTTAAGCTGCTTCCCAAGGTCCCTCCCTGTGTCAAAGGACACAGACCCAGTGACGGAGTAGCCAGAGGACTTTGGGAGGACGTCCCCCCTGCTAGGGACCAAAAGTTTGTATCCCCCCCTAATTCACATCGAAGCCCTAACCCCAATGAGTGGATACCAGCCTACAGGTGGTATCAGGTTGGTTTAGGTGACATCACGGAGGGGGGCCCCCAGGACAGCATCAGGTCCCTTCTGCAGAAGAGGAGGAAGAGGGGGATCTCTCTGCACAAGAAGGCCGTCAGCCGCACCAGGAAGCCACCCTTCAGCGGACACTGGATCGGGGGCACGCTGATCTCGCACTTGTCGGCCTCGGGAGCTGTGAGGCAGTCTCATGTAAGCCACCAGCCCGTGGGGTTCTGTTATGGCAGCAGGAGCATCCAGGACCCCCACCGATACCGGGTGGCTGGGGCGGGAGAGGATATGTCAGCAGGGACGGGGACCGAGCTCCCGGCTGAATCCTGCATCCCGGAATCTAGGGGTATGCCCCGGGTACGGGCGGGGGGAGGCAGCGGCAGCCTCCCCTGCCTCTGCCCACCTGGCAAAGCCTGGGAGTGGGCCGCAAAGGCGGTGGGGGAGGGGAGCTGTCTGCAGGAAGCTGGCATTTCTGCCCCAAACGGGGGCCGGGGGAGAGGGGACCATCCAAGAAAATAAGGGCGAGCAGAAGGTCCAGCCTGCGCTGCTCGAGGGCGAGGCCGGAGTCTGCCGTTGAGAGCGCGGTCCTGGCTGTGGGCGCGCCTGTCAGGTTACAGCGGGGCAGGGGACACGGGCCCAGGGAGGGAGGCCCTGGGGGTCACACGGGCAGCCCGGGGGGAGGAGCTGCCGGTGGGTGGGTTTCTCCTACAGCAGAATTCCCGGGGGCAAAATGGAACTGGCCCAATCTCTCCCGACACAGCAGTGAATCCCCATCAGGAGCTGGTCTTCTTAAATCGGCCCTACGTTCACGTTCATGGCCCGTTGGTCTGGTCTTTCTCTCCTCTTCCTTAATAAGGAAGGACTCAGGCTGACACGAGCCGGGGCCCCCGTGCTGTGAGGAGGAGGTGGCCGGAGAAGACCTTTGACCGCTCCCTGGGCCCTTTAGTCCCCTCCTGGGAAGGGGGGCCAGGCTCGGGCCGCACCTCTCTGACGGCCCCAGCACAGGACCCCGCCGCCGTCCCCAGGCCGATGGGGGCACGGGCACCGGTGGGTGTGGACTCCCAAGGCTGTTGCCAGCTGACCTCCCGTGGCCTGCCTGGGAAGTCGGCTGGTGAGGCTGACGGTGCCAAGACCTCCGCCCTCCGTGCTGACGGAGCACAGCTGTGTGCCCGGGACTTCTGGATCCCAGCGCCTGGCTGGAAGGAGGTCACCAAAGGTTGCTCAGGCACCAAAGGGCCAGAGCCAAGCCACCACAGGCATGGGTCACCTCCCGAGGCATGAGCTGTCCAGAGCAGAATCTGGGGGGGGGCCTGGGGGGCGCATCGCGAAGGCTGCCAGGTCCTCACCCGCAGCCCCTCGCAGCTAGTGACCTGTCAGTGGCCTGGGCTGGGGTGCTGCCGGGGACGGGGGTTAGTCAGAGGCCTGAGCCGAGGGCCATCCTCAGCGAGGGCAGGGCAGCCGTGTCCACGGGGCAGGTCGGTCCTTGGATTAGAGAAGGGGGTGCCTCTTGCTGGATTTCCAATCTTTGTGCCCAGACTCTGCAAAGACTTGGGGCCACCGGGCCCTTTGCCGGGCTGCCTGTGGTCCCCCGAAAATCGCTATTCTAGGAAGAGAAGTGAGGTCCCAACAGGTGGGGGCCTCAAAAGGCTTACTCGGGTCACTTCTAGAGGGAGTGGGCCCAGCCCCAGAGGCAAGCGTTCCTCCAGCTTGGCGCGACCGCCCAGATACCTGTGAACACCTGACGCCTCTACAAGCGCTCACACACCGTCCCCTCGGCTCCTCGCGCCAGGCTCCGGGATCAGCACGACCACAGAGGAGGGGACTGCGCGCCGGCTGGGAAAGCCATGGGAGGAGGGAGGCAGCTGGGGCCTGTTCTTGGAGAGCCTTGGTGCCCCTCCTACAAACTCACGTGCACACAGACACGCTGAGACCCCCGCAGCCAGACACACACAGCCTCCTACAAAGTCCCGCACACTGGCTCACGGGCGGGCGACAGCCAGTAGGGCAGTGGAGGGGCGGGGCTGAGCAGGGGTGCGGGGTTGCGGCGGGGGGTGGGGGGGATGTGGGGGATGCAGAAGTGAAGAATGTGGAGGTCTTTCCCTTTGCGATGACAGAGCTTCCCTAATTCTTCCGCGAACGGGGCGGGACGCGCCCATCTGGTGACTCCCATTTCCCTGGAAGTCAGCCACTTTTTCGAGGTCAATCCCTTCCGCGCAGGTCACCCCGTCGACGCGGGCCAGGCAGCACCTGGTCATGGGAAACAATGTACCCAGGGTTTTTCCATAAAGAGGAAGGTGAGGCCAAAAGGAAGCCCAGGGCCCTGAGAAGGCAGAAGGATTAGGGTTCTCACGCACTCGCTCCGCAGGCTGGAGTGCCTCCCCGAGCAGAGGGGAGCCCGGGGACGTCTCTGCCCAAGGCCATCAGTCAGGGCCAGCCAGCTCGGGGCACACAGGCGGTTTCACATGAGCCTCAGGAGGCCCAGGTCCCAGCCCGTTCCTGCCAGTACCGCTGTGTGACTCTGGGTTAGTGCCTCGCCCCCTTGGACCACAGGGGTCTCGTCTGTGAGGATGGAGGTCTGCACAGCCACTAAAGTCACTTCCAAGTTAACAGTGTAATGCTTGGTCTCTGCGGCTCCAAGGACCCAGCCGGCACCCCCACCGTCACTGCGGTCCTGGCCCAGAGGACGTCAGCCCGGGCACCAGGCCTTCCGTCCACACCCTCTGACCCCCCTGCCCCAACACCAAGCTGCCCAGTGATCAGCTGCTAAGCCATGCCAGGACCTCCTCGCTGAGACTCAGTGGGCTGAGGGAAGCCCACCCGGGGTTTCTGAGTGCCCTGGCAAGGCCGACCCGAAAGGCAGACAGTCCCGGCCCCAGGCCACCCGTCCCCAGCACTACCTCTCCCAGCTCCTTAGGACGCACTCTGTCCCAGGTCCTCAAGGGCTCACAGCCGCCATCGGGAGGGGGCACCTGTCTGAGGCCGGCCTCCTCAACTGCGGCTCACACCGTGGCTTCTGGAATTCCGTCCTGGGCTTCCACCAGGGCATCTGGCTCCTTTTCCTGCAGAACTGGCCCCAGGGGCCGTCGGGGTCAGGCAGGACCCCCAGGGGGCAGGCTTGCGAGGGCAGGCGAGCTGGCTCGGCACCGGACCCTCTGGAGCTCCTCCAGGCGGGAGGGGCGAGGCGGAACCACCATGGCGCCAACAGCGACTTCAGGAGGTCACCGTGGGGGTCACTCAGCTCTGACCTGAGCTCGTGCTACAGACTCAACTGGGTCCCCCCAGAGTCCACGTTCCTAGCCCCCAGGACTCAGCGTGTGACTGCCGTTGGAGAGAAGTGAGTAGGGTAAAGTGAGGTCACCAACATGACTGCGTCCTTCCAGGAAGAGATGAGGACACTGACACACAGATGAGACCACGTGAAGACACAGGACAGGCGGCGCCTGCAAGTCACAGAGAGAGGCCCTGGAAGAACCCAGGCCTGTGCTCCTTCACCTCACACTTCCAGGCCCCAAGACCGCGGCGAATACATGTCCACCGCTGAAGCCCCGAGGCCTGTGCTACCTTGTTCTGGCTGCCGGAGCCTTGACTCGCGTCTCCTTTCTCAGGCCCACGCCGGCCTAGAGGGCAGGCAGCTCACGCTGTCAGTGAACTTGACTGCTCCCCAGAGCCAACCCCAGGGCCGCCTGGGGCTCCAAGGCCTGCAGCGCATGCCCAAGGGCCGGGTGCTCCTGGGGTGCTAGGGGTGGGGGTGAAACATGTCCTGCTTTGGTGAGACTGGTCCGTGTGCCTGGATGCCATCCACAGTGAAGGTAGAGGCAGGCAGGGCCCTCCACGTGGGCCAGGCTGCGCTCCAGCTGCCGAGGGAAGCTCGGAGGAGGGAGGGAGGACGGAAGAGGAGGAGGGAGA